AGAATTAAATTTTACTGCTGATTATCCAACCTATTGACATTATATATTGTGATAATCAAGGTGCACAGAAGCTTATGAAACTGTTTATCACTCACGCACTAAACACATAGATATTAGACATCATTTCATTCGTGAAATTTATGAAAGAAATGAAATAGACGTTAAATATGTGCCAACAGTGAAAATGCCTGCTGATGTACTGACAAAAACATTGACTGCTTCGAAACATTCTAAGTGCTGTAAATTAATTGGAATAACTGTAAATAATGATTGTTTTTTTTTTTTTTTTTTTTTTTTTTTTTTTTAAGCCGCCAAACGTCGAAAGGGGGATTTCATAAGATATACTGTTGTATCATAAATTATAATACGACGTTTAGCTTAAGAGAGCTTCTCCTGACGCATGCGCCGTTCGCGTTTATCCGCGCGGTGAATGATGACGTAACTGTTTATTACGTATACCATTCTTACTTCTTCGCCTTTTTTTTTTCTCTGCTGTACACAACTATGTTTAAGTTAATCTCTGTCATTAAAAATGTTCATTGATATTACAATCTATTTAGGCTCATTTATTTCTTCATATACTTTCATAGTTTATTAACGTATTTTTAAAATTTAGCTCTGAATAACAGAGATAAAATTAGAATAAGTCCATTCATTTAAAATCGAATTCATGTGTTATAATTTAAACATAAATTAGGCTTATAATGTGACTAGACATATTAAAATCCAGCGTGTTGTTGAAGTTTTGCATTCTAGTGTATAATACACTATAGAGTCTGTCTCTCTTAATCCACATAAACTAGAATAGACCCTATAATGACCTGGCGAATTCTCGCATAGGCGTGAATAAAACTACTGACTCAGGCGATGGGTAAAAGTAACCCTTTATTAACTAGTTAACAGAAAGGCACGGACAACTAGTTTTCGTGCGTTACAAAGACACCGTCAACTTGCGGTGGAAACTAAAACGTAGAATATAATATAAGTCAAACCTGAAACAAATAGTGCAAGATCGCACTTAACTTACGCCTAAGAGGTAGACTCATAGGAATCCAAACGGCGTGATACTAATCTGATAAGGCCAAGAGGTTTAGAAGCGTGACCTCGAAAGAACAACGCAACGTGCGCTTGGCTAGCGAAACACGCTCTGACTAAACTGAGATATTCACATGTTTAAATAAGCACTTCACTTAACTTTAAATTTACATCCTGGCGAGAGAATGTGAGGGGAAGTTGAGAAGTCTAGAATAGGTATCAAACTAAATTTGTTATGCAAAATAAGGAAAATCGTACAACACTAGCGTGCAAAACTTCAACAACAATTTCATTTTTCAACATACAACAATGAAATTGTTGAAAAGGGCATTTTGTGATCAGTACAATGAAAAGCCAACTGAAGAGAAAGGTGATACATATGCAAATATCAGCACCGTGACATCAGAGGGTACGTCACGCAAAACTCGAGGAGTCAGCGTGCGCAGTGCAAGGCAACGCAAAAAGAAGAAAGAAAGGCGCATTTCCAGACGTTCTTCTGGATGCGAAGGTAATATTGTACTTTCAGTATGGCTGCAAGAAAACATCAGGACTCCTTTATACGTCATAGAATGATTGTAGAATGATTGGCAAGCTTGCGGACGTAGTGTCCTCAAAGAGTCTGGAATTGATAAAAGATTGATACACTCGTTGTTTCACGAGCTTGGATAGTCTTCCAACCGACAAGTACATCTGTAAAAAACGTTGGTAGTGGTCGGCAAAGGAAACCAACGGCGACTGATACATAGGACTTAATATAGGGAAAAAGGGATTGAAACCAAACAGCGGACAATATTGCTCATCAGTTGCGCACGGCAAAAGGACAACAGGTGTCCTGGTTTACTGCGGCCAGACAACTTCATAGAAGTAGCCTCTTCGCCCGCTGTCCTGAACATTGCATACCACTGACCGCAGCCCATCGACGGCACCGTTTACAATAGTGTGGAGAACACAGAGACTGGAAACCTCATCAATGGAGACCCATCCTCTTTACCGATGAGCATCGTTTCAGTGTGACAAACTATCCTCGGTGCCACATGATATGGAGAGAGGTAAGGACACGAATCCATCCCCTTAACATCAGGGAGAGGGATTATTCAGGTGGCCCTGGCATACTTGTCTGGGAGGTATTATGAGGAGCTCTACATTTTCGACAGAGGTTTGCTTATTATCGTTACTGTAACGAAGTTATCCTCCCCCCACGAGCCTCCTTTTTGGAGTGACATTGATCCCGATTTTGTTTTTATGGATGACAATGTGCAACCACATCAATGGACTCATGCTGTTGAGAAGATCCTGTAAAGTGAAGATATCTACAAAATGGATCGGCCAACATGCTCCCATGATTTAAATACAATTGAACATATTTGGGATACTTTAAGGAGATGCCTGGCAGCACGATCATGCCCTCCGGAGAAGGCCAAACGGCTGAAATATATGCTCCTTGAAGATTAGGAACTCTTACCTAAGAACTGTTGGATAATCTAATGTTGAGTATCGATAGACGTTGCAATGTAACGACTGCAGCTAGGGAAAGTCACAGCCTTTCCTAAAGCTGTTTGGTTTGTTGTTCTTCCTTTCGGTCTACAGCTTTTTATACAAACGCCATTCTGTCAATAAACACTTTTTCTATTCGTTCTGTACTGTATGCATCCTACTGACGGTTTTGCTGCTACACTTCCTTTATCCTTTAAGTTATACCCATGTAGTATGAATTTTATGACTGAACTGATTTTTTGCTGAATTACGGCCAAAATAAAAAAAATTTCAGTTTTTCACACTAGTGTAGTTCCAGATAAATTTTAGCGCGCCTATATTGAAGGTAACTTGCAGATAGCGACAGCAGTTATAAAAATCTCGCTTTCTATATGTTTTGTAATATTTGCATAGAAAGTGATTCTAGAAAAACGAGCAGCTATGCTTTTCCTGTGTGATTAGAATTTCCTATAAATTTAACTCAACTGAAAATCTTTACATTTCTATACATATTAAGGTTACTGAGAAGCTCTCTTATTAAATGAAGGCTTATAAATTACCATATGTCTTGATATATACGTTTTTAACGCGAACGGGCTGGCTACGTGGGCGTTTTCGTGGTTTTCCCCATGTGTAACGTGTATACGAGCCAGTTTCCCTTAGAAAGTCCTCCACGAAGGCATCCCTCCCTTTAGGCAGATAGCCGTCGTGTGCTTTGCCATAATTAAATAATCCAATCCTATACGTTTTTAGAGAGTTTATTAGGTATGACAGGTTTTCCTCACTGGTTTTTTTCGTTCTACTGCTGTTCCATTTTTATAGATGCCGTAAATACTTTCTATTAATCAGATTGTATCTTAATCTTGTGATTTTATGTCATACTTTTAAAGAACATATTTAACTGAATACATAGCCACGTTTTATAAGGGTTTATTTCGTGTAAAGTGTTGTAGACCTTGTAACTCTAAACTGATCAACGTCTAAACCGTGAAAATAACTCCATTAGAAGTCGAGATATAAGTAAAAACTCTCCTGGACAAGCCTTGGTGACATTTGTCACCGAGGTTGCGATATTTTGTGGCAGTTTTAGGAAAGCATTCGAAGCCCTTTGACAAGTTTTCGCTAAGCTTTCGAAAGACTGGGATTCTTATGCAAACGGTTGTGTTTTAGCTTTGTGAGCCAGTTCAAGTTATAGAGTCAGCTCGGAGTTATGCAGTTACATTGAGCTTTTGTTGAGTGATTACTGCTTTAGAGTATATGAGTGATATCGGAGATCTGAGACATTTCTTGTTTATAAAGGAGAATTTGCCTTATCTTTATTGTCTTCCTTGAGCTATTTATAGCTGTTTACATAGCCGTGAACTGTTATTTGTTTCAGCAAATGTCCATTTCTTTTTGCTCCTTGGACATAATTATTGAAGATATAACCACGAACTCCTAGTTCATAGTTATACATAACAGAACGAATATATGCATATAGTTATGATATTGCATACACTTGTGCAAATATGCAATATAAAATTAAGATTTAATTTTCTTTATTTAAACGAATTCTGTTTTTATTCATTCAAAAGACAGGTCTTTTCTATTTTAAGGTGTTGTACTTCATACATTAATTTCACGTATATGTATTCTTTCCAGGACCTTCCTTTATACATTATTTATCTATAATGTTCTGAAAAATATGCTAATATCCTATATTCAGAAATGTTTATCGTCTAATTTCAAAACCAATGATATCTATACTATCGCAGTATGCTGATACCAATTCAAACTGAATTTGTAGTAACATTTTCTCTGTAGGCCTGTATTTTAGAGTATTATCGTGTCCGAACAAAAATTTATTTTGTCTTTCCCCTTGAAAGACAAGTTTCTAGAAATCTTTTTAGCTTACCTTTGCCAAAAAACAGTTTTCGTAATTTTATGCAATTCATTGAAAAATATTATTTCAGTTACTCTTGAAATACTGCATATAAAATTAACTTTAATAACAAAGCTCTGTTATTTAACATAATTGACTGTAAACATCTTAAACGTTAAGACAAATAATTAAGAAAAATCGCCTTTATAAGAAACATTGAAAATAGTAGCCTATTAGAAATTTCAGTAATTCATAAATAAATTTTCTCAGGATTTTCTTCTTATGCATTATGCGTGAATATGAATACCATTTATTTCATTTTTATTACATTACATAAAGTATTTTTTATTACTTTACATAAAACAGGAAACATTCTGATACTTTAACAATATTTTAAAGCCTCTTACAAACGTGCTGTGGGCTTATGATACATGAGACAAATTGGTAAGCGAAATTTATATGTAAATATTAAATAAGTAATGCACAAGCATTCTGACATATTCAATCACTGAAACACATCTAAAACTCGAAGCCAGTAACACTAAATGCATAAAAATATACCTTCAGTTAAATCTGAATAAAAATATATACATAGTAAAATCACTATTTTCACTAGATTTATGTTACTTACTGGTATTACAGCCACAATTTTCTGTAGCCTATCGTAATCAGGTGAAGCAATAATATTTTCCTCACTAAAAATTAGTTGGCTAAAAAAAAAAAAAGAAAAAAGAAGAAGAAAAAAAGAAATTCAAATTTCAAAAATTGAATTATTTGTATGTTAATTTATTAAATACCTAATTAAACAGAATGTTTTCAGGTAAGTTCTTCGCTTATGATATTTACAAACTGTTAACTAAATTGTTTACGTTGTGGCATTTTATAGCTTTTATGAAAATTCTAAGCTTTAAATATTATTAAATTCAATAACACACACAATAGCAAATAAATAATTAAATGACATCATGACTAATAATTAAATTATAAATTAAATGAAGACTGAACGTCAGCGCGATAAAAAAATTTTCCTTTTAAATTTAGATAAACTAATTTTTGAAACAACATTTGAGAAAGAAATTAAAAATAATGTTACCGGCATTTCAGTATTCTTTGAGTGCGATTTTCCTTCTGTTTTGAAAAATCAAACTGCGTTTCAGGACATGTATCAAATTCATCTTTGTAACAATTGTTAATATCTAGGTAAACAATTAACAAATCCGAAAATTTTGGACTTTTCATAAAAAATAAAAAGTTTCGTTTGCTTATAGACATTTTCTACATGTACTACATCTTATATACTGAAAAGTTTATCTGATCATTATCGTCTGATATTTTCAATAAAGAAACATGTGAATTGGTAAGTTTTTTCCCGTTATAAAGGTTTTGGGCTATTTAAGTTGTAAAATACATACGCTTATAAAATCATTTTGCAGATTATGGAATTTAATGCAAATTTCATTTTCAATTGAATAATGTGTTTTGTACCAACTTAAATCCTTACTGAGAATAAATTTGGGTAACTTGGAAAATAATGGTGTTTTTTCATATTCAGATAAAACTATAACTTTTCTTTTCTAAACTAATTCTAGAATTCAAAAAAAGCTAGTATAATTAAAGCTAGTAATTCATAAATAGAATTTTTCGCATGTGCAGAGTCCAGGTTTTAAGTTTGAAATTTGATAATTATTTTATGTAACAAATTAGTCAAATTCAACATTAGTTGAAGACTATCAAAAGCAATAATCTAAAGCTTCTATTACAATCTTTCCTTTTCTTCAGTGGCAACACTGATTTTCTCTAGGAGTACTTGTATATATTTACAAGATATTTTTATGTGCTATGCTTGTATATGAATATACAATGCACACTTATTTTGAAATTGAAACCATCAGAATATTAATTCCCAAAACAGCTTGTAATTTTTACAGCATCATTTTATAGCGGTATGTTGCTATTTTTCAGAAAAAGAAAAATTTAATGTACATTGCGAAAAAAACGGACAATTCTATATCTCCCGTTCTACTGGGCCGATTGACGAAATTCAAATTTCGTTTTTCATGTCTCGAAAGCGTGACATAGGATATATATTAGATTTATGTACAGCACTGTTCTAATATACAGTGTCTCAAAAAAGTGATGGGACACTTGTGCTTTACAAAAGGAAACTGCAATAAAATAAATTTAAAAAACATGTAAAATTTTTTGTGGGTGTGTTTCATACTTAAATGAATGTAGCAATTATTACATAACATACATTTCTCAAAATATTAAAATATTAATTTAATAAAAATACAGTTGTTTAGAACGGAGCAGAAAATGGCTCACTTAAGTGATGGGACACTTACTTTTCCATCAAATATTTATCCAAAAATTTTACTTTTTAAAAGGTTTTAATATTTTGTTGGATTTCCTTTTACTTTTAAAACATGATTTAATCTTCTTGGAATGGATTCGACTAATTTTTTTTTTGTGATTTCTGGAGTGATTTTACCCCATTCTTCTTGAAGCACCGATTTTAATTGTTGTTTTGAAGAAATGGTGTGTTTGCGAATTCTTGATGCCAATTCTTGCCAAATATTCTCTATGGATTTAATTGTGGAGATTGTGGGGGTGTTTTTATTATTTCAGGACAGTTATACAGCAGCCAGAGTATAACGTTCAAAGCACTGTGCTTGGGGTCATTGTCCTGGTAGAATTTAAAATCGTTATTAAGGTTCAATTTTCGTGCTGAAGATTTCAAATTTTGATTTAAAAATGTCAATATACTTGTACTGATCCATTATACTGTCAATAAAAACAAGATTATACCAACTCCAGCGGACGACATAACCCCCCATACCATACCATAACTCCTCCTCCACCATGTTTTACTGTTGGCACCGAGTTCTGTTTGCGAAATTCTTCCCTTATTTTCTCCACACCAAGATTCTACCGTCAGAACCAAATATATTAAATTTACTCTCATCAGCAAATATAACTTCATTCCAGCAATCAGAATTCCTTATTTATGTTGGATTTTGCGAAAGCCAGTCTGAGTTTGTCTATTCTTTTCACTCAACGAAGAATTTTTTCCTGGCTGCTCTACCGTGATATCCAGTAGATCGATATCTAATTACTCTTATAATAGTCTCAGGATTAACAATTACTCCATATAATGCTTGTAAATCAGACAGCAACTATAGGAGCACTCATTCTTGGATTTTTGTTTTTTTTAATATTTCCGAACGATAATTCGCTTTATTCCTTTGGATAGCTTTGATGGTCGGCCAGGTCTTCTTTTATCCTGAATCATATTATTCTTTTTATATCGTTTAATGATATTGAAAACTGTTGAATGACTGAAGTTAACTGTTTCAGTAGTTTCTCTAATAGATTTTTCACGTTCAATATGCAAATTAATAACTAATTTTCGAATTCTAGGCAAAGTTTCTTTTCGTTTAGCATTCATGGCTGCACAGAGCTAAAAAACACAAAAATTCCAAAACAAACTGGAGAGAAATACTGCACACGATTTTATAAATTATTGGTAATTGCTTTTGAGTAAAAATAAAAAAGATATTTTTATTGCTTACTTCAGACGATTTTTGTTGCATAGTACGTAGTGTCCCATCACTTCAGTGAGCCATTTTCTACTCCGTTCTAAACAATTGTATTTTTATTAAATTAATATTTTAATATTTTGAGAAAATGTATGTTATGTAATAATTATTACTAAATTTAAGTATGAAACACACTCACAAAAAATTTTACATTTTTTTAAAATTTATTTTATTGCAGTTTCCTTTTGTAAAGCACAAGTGTCCCATCACTTTTTTGAGACATTGTAGGTATTCTGGCAGAAAATCGGACTTTCTTCGAAATGACATGCCAATATTTTTCCATATTTCGATTCCACGATTCAAATTATGCCTAAATACTAAATTTTGTAAACTTTGGTACGAAATTTAGGGAGAAATTCAAAAATTTGACTTTGCGCATTTTTTTCAGTTTGCGCTAAGAAAAATTCACTTGACGAACTTCTTAATTTATAGCAAACCTATGATGTTTTCCTTTTTACTTCCTTGTACGAAGTAAAAAGGAAGTATTGCAATCGCGAAAAGTTTCAGGCATCATATTTCAACGCAAATATCCATTTTCACAGCTATCGAATGCAATTTAACGATGTTTTTGCTTGATATCTGTACGTAAGGACTCTTTTCACCCAAAAAATTGTAAAACTAATTTAAAATGAATTCTGAAGAGAATGTTTCGTGGCGTCTGTGCGTACCTACGTACGTATGTATCTCGCATAACTCAAAAACGAGTAGCTTCAGAACGTTGAAATTTTGTATATAGGATTGCTATAACATGTAGATGTGCATCTTGTATTTTTGGTTGCATTCGGTCGCACCAAAAAGTATATAAATATATGCATATATATATCCACTCTGTTACTCGGCTGAGTGATTTCAGTTTCCTTATTCTTATATGTTTGTAAATTGTGCATTTTTTGCTTTAAAAATGATTGAATTATGCTATTCTTATCTTCCGGTTGAGGTTTTTATGCCTTTAGTAAATCTGTATGCAATATTTTTAGAATTATCAACAATTTAAAAGTTGTTTAATTGCAGCTAAGCCTAATAGTTTTTGCCATGTCGGCCATTGCTTGTTTACATTTTAAACAACAGAATAGTAGATTTGTTGCCAATCTAGAGAAAGTAAGTTTCGCAATAACAAAGATAACTCCTTCTTTTGTTATTGAGAATTGAATCATGCTTAATCCATTCTGGCATTTTATTCGGGAAAATAAGTGCTTAAGATTTACTTTATAATTTTCAATACAGACATTTTGAGTTTTTATGTATTTTTGCCTTGTAGTGAAGTGAGAACTGAATTAATTGAATGAGAGATACTGAATCATCTGTGAAAAACTGTTTCTTTTCTTTTCTTTTTTCTTTTCTTTTCTTTTTTTTTTTTTTTTTTTTTTTTTGTTTTTGTTTAATTTCTTTTATACATCGTTTTAGATTTATTAATTTATTATAGTATTTGAATAGAACAACGATTAGATAATTTTTAAGATGATATAAATTTTTTGCATTTTGAGTTAAAAAATGAAAAGATCCTAAGTTGGTCCCCAGCTACCGTCCTATTAGCCTGCTATCTGCTTTGGAGAAAGTTTTTGAAAGAATTCTCAAAATTAGACTGACAAATCACCTTGAAAGGCCTGATCTCATCGAGAGCTCACAATTCGGTTTTAGAAGTAGAAATTCAACTACTCATCAAGTTCTGAACCTTGTTGAATATGTTGCAAATAATTTTCATAAAAAGAAAGCAGTCGCTGCGTGCTTCCTCGATTTCGAAAAAGCTTTCGATCGAGTGTGGGCACGCAGGACTAATCCATAAACTTAGCAACTTTCTGCTTCCAGTCAGTTTCATCCAGTTCCATATTTCATATCTTAAACGCAGGACTTTTCAAGTCAACAGTGGAGATGCTATTTCTCGTAAGAAAGTAATTTATAGTGGAGTTTCACAGGAAGCGGTTCTCGCCCTCTGTCTTTTCAACATCTATGTTAACGACTTGCGAAGCCCTCTTGACTGTAAAATTTTGAAATATGCAGACGACACGGTCGTCCTCACGGATTCACTTAGCCCTTACTCACCATGGACAAATTGCAGTTAAAAGTTAACATCGTTAATAAATGGTGTGACTATTGGAAGATAAATTTAAACTCAAGCAAATGTTGTGTTGTTCTTTTTAGATGATACAGAAAAAGTGTAATTATCAATAATGAGATCAAAATTAAGAATGAAGTTGTTCCGTGTGAAAGCTCTTACAAATATTTAGAAGTTATTATTGATAACCGGCTCACCTTCGCCTATCATGTAAAAGCAGTGGCAGATATAGCAAATACGGCTTTTTGTGCGCTTTATAGTCTAATAGGCAAGAACTCTAAATTATCACTCAAAATCAAAAGAACTTCTCTGTATCACCTTAATAAGGCCTATCATGTTTTATGCCGTGCCGGCTTGGGCAACCGCCAATAAAACAGAGCATGCTAAACTTGATACTCTCCAGAATAAAATTCTACGTTTCATAGTGAAAGCTTCCTGATGTGTGAAAAATGCTGATATTCAGCACGATCTTAAAGTAAAAGTCATGCACGAACAAATATTAATCTCGTCTCATAATTTCTTCGAAAGTTTAAGTAACTCAGGATACGCCTCTTTCCGAAGTTTGTGTGACTACGATCCTACAATTGAAAGCGTGGTAAAAAGACCCCGCACAGTACACC